TCCTTTGCTATCCTTGCTCAGAGAATACTCAACTCACTGAGCGTGACCCTGTTCTCCACCGATCGGATCCCTAACTTCAGGGATTGGACCCGTGATCTATTCTTAAACTACGAGGCTAGAGCATGGATTGAGAGGGCGACTCGCGAGAAGTTAATGCCGGTACCGGCACTGTCCGATTATACTCGCATACCAAACAGGGTCAATCCAGCCGCGTTCTCCCAAAATTATCCATCGTCCCACACTTACCCATCTATCGACCTATGGTTCATGAAATAGCTAATTGAATGGTTATTTTCTAGCCGAACGCACGTCGATCCACCTTTATACCTTTCCTCTTTTCAGACCTTCCTTCTGTAAAACAGGTGCCATTCACGTCTTTACTACTCTTGCTATTTTTATTATTTTTTACTACTTTTAGTATTTTGTTGTCGTTACTATTTTTATTGTTTTCTATTACCTTTATTGTCTTTATTATCTTAGTATTATTTTTCATCTTTTATTATTGTTAACTTTGTCGTTTTATCTGATAACTCATTTATATTGTTCTTTATATATTTTATTTTACTATATTTTCATTTTTAAATCTATTTTTATTTTTACATATATACTCTTAGTGTTTACTGTTAATGCCATTGGAAACTCGCTGCTCACCGTATATACTACTCACACAGTTTCACGTAATTCATCTCCTTCAAATAGTCAAATGCGTCACTTTTCATCCTTGCATCTCCTCTTTTGTCATGTTTAAATTTTGTTATTATTTTGTTATGTACATTTTCCAAACTGCCAGACGGGGTTCCACCTCATTGGCGCAATAAACGAACTAATCTAATCTAATCTAATCTCTCTCTCTTGCTCATTCTCGGACTTGTAGGTTCAGATTTTTCGCGAACTTTTAGAAAGCAAAACAAGCGTAGGAAGGAGCAATATAAAACCACGTACTTCAGATCAAGACCACCCCTCCCCCCCCGCGTAGCACATCGTAGTATTTCTGCGGACCCCCCCCCCGCTGGTCAGGCTACGTGGTTAATGAACGTTCCCATAGCATGTTTTTATTCAACGAAAATGAGCACAAGTGTGCACAACAATTTCAAACTTTCGAAATATGGCTTATAAAAATTAAAAATTCTAAATTGTACTTCTCAAAATGGCGGCGAAGAAGAAATTACTTTTTTAACTTCAGAAGCTTTTTTCTCGAAAACTAAAGACTTTCGTGAAAAATTTCCAGGAATAAAAAAGTCTTATAATTGGTCAAGAAATACTCTTTTTGAGACAATTTTTGACTTTGGAAAATCTGGAAAATCCAATTTTCCAAAAATGTCTCTAAAAATTTTGAAAAAATTTGATAGTGTTCCTTGACTGATTTTAAGACTTTTTTTTTTGTTCTTAGAAATTTTTTGTTAAAGTCTTTCGTTTTTGAGAACACAATTATTGAAACGTTTAACGAATTAATTCCGGATTTTCCAAATGAAGCACTCAGTAAAAGAGCGATTAACATAGATCGCTACTGAACTTGAGTACTAGAGATCGAAACGAAATTTTGAGAGGTTGTTTTGAATGTTTAAATGAATCACCTCTCCAACCCCTGTCAACGGCCTAATTTGTTAAACGAATCTCTTGAAAGTAGCTGGCATAACACGGATTCTTATGAGATATTCAACAGAATTGAGGTGATTTTATTTAATATCTTCTGTAAATTACTGGAAATATAATCGAAAGACGCTGACATATAACAGATTCAATTAGAATTTTTAAATTACCGTCTCCTCTCTCGGATGCTAGTCGGCAGCACCTACTACGTCGCCCAAGGAACCAGGCGCTCGAACCACGCAACTGCGCTTCCGCCTCCCTCTCGCGGGGAGAGGCATTACCGCCGCGTGGTGCACGTATGGACGTTTGCTCTCGCCAGCTCGCATCCTCTTAGTCATATGTACTAGGAGGGTGGTCCGATAAGTACTTAGCCTACAAAAGAAAAACGAAAATTTTGGAAAAGTGGCGTTTTATTTTTCAACATAGTCTCCTTTTAGTTCGATACACTTGGCCCAGCGATGCTCCAACTTCTTTAACCTGTCTGAAAAATACGTTTCCTCAAGGTCTGAAAAGTAGGCTTCCGTGGCAGCGATTACCTCTTGATTCGACTCAAATTTCTGCCCGGCGAGTGACTTTTTCAAGTTTGGAAACAAAAAGAAGTCGCAAGGGGCTAAATCTGGAGAATACGGTGGATGGAGCAGCAGTTCGTAGCCTAATTCGACCAATTTGGCCATGGCGACGGCGGAGGTGTGAGCCGGTGCGTTGTCATGGTGGGAGAGTACTTTTTTCTTCATCAAATGGTGCCGTTTTTTCTGCAATTCGACGTCGAATCGGCCTAATAATTCGGCATAGTACAGCCCTGTGATCGTTTTGCCCCTCTCCAGGTAGTCGATATAGATCACACCTTGTGAATCCCAGAAAACGGTGGCCATCACCTTTCCGGCCGATGGGGCAGTCTTCGCCTTCTTCGGAGCACTTTCGCCGGGTAAACTTCACTGTTTCGACTGTTCCTTGGTCTCTGGTGTATACCAGTGGATCCATGTTTCGTCGACTATCACGAAACGACGCAGAAACTCCTTCGGATTGCGCTTAAACAGCGTCAGACATTGCTCTGAAGTTGTCTCACGGTTGCGTTTGTTGTCCGGAATGAGTAAACACGGCACCCATCGCGCCGACAGCTTAGTCATGCCCAAAATTTCATGCAGGACATGACCCTGGCGATCTTTTGAGATGCCTACGATCTTAGCTATCTCGCGCTCCTTCAATCGTCGATCTGCTAATACGAGATCGTGAATTTTTGTCACGTTATCCTCCGTGATAGCCGTTTTCGGAGTACCTGGACGTGGCTCTTCAAAAATCGACGTGCGACCACGTTGAAACTCGTTAAACCAATTTTTGACGATCTCCATCGAAGGAGAAGAGTCACCGTACACAGTATCCAAGCGCTTTTTGATTTCGCTGCGCGATTTCCCTTCCATAAACAAGAATCGAATCACCGACCGATACTGCTCTTTTTCCATTTTTCAAAAATCAACTGACACACTTGCTTTCACACGCTCTCAAAAATAAACTACAACTGCGATCCGGCTGAAATATTGACAGTAACCATCGAAAAGGTTGTACTACGTGATAGAATATTTCTTTTGCGAGAGTGGCGCCATCGGGCGGTGAGGCTAAGTACTTGTCGGACCACCCTTGTAGCTCAATAAAACGTTTATTGTTCCGTATCCGCCGAGATATCTTATTTCAACCCGCTCACGCAATAAATCTCCAAAGTGGTGACCCCGACGTGATCTCGACGAATATTTCTGCTCGACATCGTGGCCGGCCCAAAACGCACACCGACGCCATCTTCATCCGCGCCTATTGTGCCCTCTCGCATTCCGACTCCAGTGTCTCTACCCAGTCTGGCAACTCGCAACAGGTTGCAGATAACAAAAAGGACGAACTCTTCGGCAATTGAAAATTCCTCGCGACCTGTAACGCGTTCGGTTGCGAAAACTCTCGGTTGTCAATTTTCGCCCGACCCGGAACCGGTTGCTAAGGATAGTGCTCGCGAAGGTGGGGCAGAGGTGATCGTTTCTGCGGAAAGTGACAGTGCGGAGATGGAGATAAACGGAGCTAACTCCGGTACTGCCGTCGGCAATCCGAACGGCATCACCTCGACTTTGGCCGGCAATGGCAGCATCGACGGCACCGGGGTTCCGCCTGGCCCCCAGCAGCTACCATCAGCAACGCCGCCGATGGATCTCGAGGCTGTCTGGCGCAGCAGCGCGCCGAGCTCGACCGGTTTCAGCAGCAGTTAAATACCCTGCAACAAGGCGCTGGTGGAGGAGTCCCGAACGTCGAAAATGGCGGGCAGTCAGCGGCACCTTCAGCCGATCGCTTTCGCCGCCCAATTGGCACAGCTGCAGCAGCAAGTGGCTGCCACGCAGTGTCAGGCCGCCGCGCATCAGTCTGCCACCGCCGGTGTGACAACACCGCATCACTGCAAGCTGCCTCTTATCTGAACGACTCGTCGGAGGGATGGTTCGTGCATGCCAAGTCTAGCTGACCTGTAACGGCATTCTCACCGATGAGCTGCGCTACAACCACGTTGTGAGCGCCCTGGATGCGGGGTCGACGAAGGAGCTCATGGACGTGCTCCAAAGCCCTCCGCCCTCAAGAAAGTTTGAGAACCTTAAGGCGCAAATAATCGCGCGTTTTGAGCAGACGGCCGAGCAGCGCCTTCGCAAGCTATTCAGTGGAGTGCAAGTGGATAACCGCAAGCCGTCGCTCATCCTCAATGAGATAAGGCGACGCGCCGGTAATAGCCTCGACGAAGCGGGGCTCAGGGTGCGCTTTCTCTACATGCTGCCAGCCGCATTTCAGAGGGTTCTATCCCATCATGCGCAATAGCCCGCTCAAGGAGTTAGACGAGGCGGCAGACGAGATGCACCTGCTGCCGGCCGCAACAGTGTTAGCTGTTGGACAGGGATCACGCGGCACATCACCGAGTAGATCCAGCACCTCCAGCCCTTAGCTCACCAAGGAGATGGCTGACCTGCGCGCTGGCATAGCGCAGCTGCTCACTGCCACTCAGCTGGTGCTTGCAGCAGTCTCCGCTCCGTCGCGTCCTGGCTCGCAGCAGTCAGGCAGAGGCCGCAGCCGCAGCCGCGGTCCGAACAGCCGCTCAACTTCGCCAGCCACCAACGGGCTTTGCTTTTACCACCACCGCTTCGGCAAGAAAGCGCAAAACTATCGCAAGCCCTGCAGCTGGACGGAAAACTAGCCTCACTGCCATCTATCCAGGCGTGTCACGGCAGCGTCAGTTTCACCGAAAACCGCCTGCACGTGAAGGACAGGAATTCGGGCTTGATGTTCCTCGTCGACTCCGGTTCCATCGTCTCCCTACTGCCTCGTTCGGCAGTACGCGAGTCGTCATCGGATCTTCTCGCTAAGCAGGGGAGCTTAGCCTCACTGCGGCAAACATGTCGCTCATCGCTACTTACGGCCGTCTCGTGCTCGCACTCAACTTGGGGCTGCGCCAAGAATACATCTGGCCGTTCATCATCGTCGACATTTCTGGCGCCATCATCGGCGCCGACCTGCTGGCTCACGCAGGCCTCATGCCGGACCTGCAGAACATGCGCCTCGTCGACTCAGCTACAACTCTCAGCGCCCAAGGCCACCCCCGGACAGCAGCGGGAGACTCCGTGGCCATTCTCCACGACCCTAGCGGTAACCTGAACATCCGCCGGCAGTACGACGAGCTTCTGGTCGAGTTCGCTCGCCTGATAGAGCCCAACTCCCGACACGCTAACATCAATGGCACAGCCATCCGCCACCACATCATCACCAAAGGGCCACCGGTATTCGACCGCCCACGGCCACTACACGGCGATCGGCTCAAGGGAGCCAAGAGCGCTTTCAGAGAGCTGGCAAACCGCGGCATCGTCAGGCCATCGTCGACCCAGTGGGCCAGTCCTCTTCACCTGGTGGAGAAGAGCCCTGGCATGTACCGCGTCACCGGCGATTATCGAGCCCTCAACGCTATCACCGAGCTTCAGACCGGTACCCTCTGCCCATCATCGAAGACCTGCTCCACGTCTGCCACAGCGGCATCGTGTTCTCGGTGATTGACCTGGAGAAGGCCTTATACCAGGTCCCCATGGCAGAGCAGGACATCGCCAAAACGGCCACCACGACACCCTTCGGCCTTATCGAGTTTGTTATGATGTCGCTTGGCCTTCGAAACGCTCCGCAAACGCTGCAGCGTTTCCTCGACTCGCTCTTTCAGGACCTGTCTTTCATTTGCTGGTACCTAGACGATGCCATCGTGTTTTCTAAGGACCATGAGGAGCACCTGCAGCACTTGCGCATCATTTTTAACAGGCTGCTCGAGTCAGGTCTCACGGTCAACCTGAGAAAATGCCAGCTCGGACAAGTTGAGGTTTCTTTCCTAGGTCATTAGGTCTCGCGACTCGGCTACAGGTCTTCTCCCCCGAAAGTCGACGCCATCGACAGGATTCCAAGGCCTAAGAACTATCAAGAGCTACACAGCTTCCTAGGGATGATCGATTACTATCGTCGGTGCACTCCCAGAGCGGCGCATATCCAAGTGCCTCTGAACGACCTATTCCGTGGCGCTCCGAAGCGCAAGAAGGCCAAGTTACCAACGTGGACCGATGAGCACGAAGCCGCCTTTCGGGTATGTAAAGAAGCGCTGCACAAGGCAACAACCAATTCGTTTCTGGCCTCGAACTCTCAGCTCATTCTCTACACCGACGCATCGGACACCGCTATCGGCGCCGCCCTGGAGCAGATCATCGATGGATGCCAATGTCCAGTGGGTTTCTTCTCCAGAAAGCTCACGGACACCGAGCGTCGGTATAGTACGTACGATCGTGAGCTGCTTGCGGCCTACGCTGTCGTCAAATTCTTCCTATGCTACTTGGATGGCCGTCCTTTTGAGCTTCGCACGGATCACAAGCCGTTCACGTTCATCGGAAAGCAGGCCGCAGCCAAGGCCTCTCCTCGTCAAAGGAGACACATCGACTTCCTGCTGTAGCACAACATAACCATCAGCCACGTCAAGGGCTCGGATAACGTTGTCGCTGACGAATTCTCTCGAGCTTGCACCATCGGCATGCCTTCCGGCTTGTTGGCGCACGACATTGCCGTAGCACAACAGGCAGACGTAGAGCTGTAACATCTCCTCGACAAAGGCCTCCTCGACCTGCAGTACTTGATCATGGCGTCGTCAGACCATACCTTCCGGGCGCGCTACGCCGAAAGGCCTTTTCCGTCCGGCACTGTCTGGCTCACCCGTGCCCCAGAGCAACAACAAAGCTGATGACGGATAAATTCACCTAGCCGCATGCGAGGAAGGATGTCTCCCGCTGGGCCCGCTCCGGCACCGCCTGTCAACGAGCCAACCGGCACAACCGTGCAGTGCTCAAATCCTTCGCTGTCCCGGACAACAGATTGAAGCACATATACATCGACATCATCACGCTACCACAAGTGGGAGACCTGCGCTACTGCCTGACTATCATCGACCGCTTCAGCAGGTGGCCAGTCGCGGTACCGTTCGCCGACATCACGGCCGAGACAGTCGCAGCCGCGCTCATGAGAGAGTGGATCGCTCTTTTCGGTTGTCCTCTAACGTTTACATCGGACCAAGGCACTCAATTTGAGTCTGCGTTTTTCAACGCCATGACCCAGATGACGGGGACCAAGAGGATCCATACGACTCCTTACCACCCGCAGAGCAATGGCTTAGTCGAGCGCCTACACCGGACTCTAAAGGCTGCGCTCATGTGCGACGGTTCTGCCCCATGGCCTGATCGTCTGCCCCTGATCCTGCTCGGCCTCCGCACCTGCTACAAGGAGGACCTTGAAGCCTCGCCAGCAGAGCTTCTCTTTGGCACCACGCTTCGCATTCCAGGAGAGTTTTTCGTAGAGCAGAGCATTTCGGCAAATCTGCCAGCATTCGTCGCTAGGCTCAGAGCCGTCATGAGTCAGCTCCGAGCGGTTCCAGCCTAGAGGCACTCGATCTACCGCCCTTTTATACACAAAGACCTCAAGGCTTGCTCTCACGTCTTCCAAAGGATTGACTCGGTGCGCAAACCTCTGCAGCCGCCGTACTTTGGCCCCCACGAAGTCGTCCGTCGCTTAGATGACAAAGTCTACGTCATAAAGGTAAACGGCCAAGAGAAGACGGTATCCACTGACGCGCTGAAACCAGCCTATCTCGACGAAGAGAACTTGGAGCCGCAACAACTATTGCCGCTGTCTCACCCGCTACCGCCTCAACGTTTATCGTCGCAAGCTCCGACTCAACTGCTACCTCCGCAAGCTCTCTCGCATCAACGGCCTTTCGAACCCGAGCATTAAGAAGACGCTTCGCCGTCGCAGCAGCAAGGGGAGCCCCCTCGTTCGCTGCCCCAGGTTTCTCCGCCGACACAGGACTCTTCACCTCCAAGGTCTACGCCGAACATCCTGCGCAAAAGGGTATCGTTCCTTCCATGCCCTACGGAAGTCTCTAGAGGGGGAGTACCTGTGGGGACTCAACCGTCTCTTCTCTCGGACGTTAGTCGGGAGCACCTACTACGTCGCCCAAGGAAGCAGGCGCTCGAACCACGCAACTGCGCTTCCGCTTCCCTCTCGCGGGGAAACGCATTACCGCCGCGTTGTGCACGCATGCACGTTTGCTCTCGCCAGCTCGCATCCTCTTAGTCATATGTACTAGCTCAATAAAACGTTTATTGTTCCGTATCCGCTGAGATATCTTATTTCAACCCGCTCACGCAATAAATCTCCAAAATAGTCGAAAGATATTGACAATAGAATATTATTGTCTAGACCGCGCGAAATTTAAAAATTCAAAAAAATTAAATTACTGAATTTATAGAAGGCTTTTATAAACATTTGTCCACGATGAAAATTATAAATATTTCAATTATATTATAAGTTGTATATCGGCATATACGTGATTACAAGGTATATTTTGTTAATATTGAAAATTAATTATTTTAGAATATTTATTTAATTATTAATATAGTCAACTGAAAATAGTTATTTTTCTCTGAATATCTTATAAGATTATATAACGTGCATAACATTAAAACGTTGACTATATTTATAAAGCTAGTAATATTTTTCGCCTGACTAGTATTAATAAAAATGTTGAATCTAGATTATAGAGGATTGATAATAAAATATATTAAATGTAAAATAACACAAAACGGTACTTATCCTCTATTCATACACTGATGAGTTTTTGAGAAATAAACTATAAATCTCATTTAATAATTTTTCATTTTTCGTGACTCTAGGTTTGCCATTCACATTTTTAGCAAACAGTACCCGTAGCCCGGCCGTTTTATTTTTTTCAAAAGCTTGTGTGTTGTATAACTTGAAGAGTGATTCCTGCTTTTGCCATCTTACTAATAGTTGTCTTTCTGATTAATCCCTTATACTGTTGCAAAGTAGCTTTGGTTGACGCTTTTATTGCTTTTAGTTTTTTTTCTTCGTTAATTTTAGAAAGGATTTTAACATACGTATGTTTGAATATTGCTACAATAGTATGTGATATAATAGCGTTTAAAGCTTTTATAATTTTTGGAGCATCCCGTTTGTTTTTTTTTATTGCGATCGAAAAACTTTTACCGAAGTATTCAATTAGACTTTGTGATAATTTCAATTTATAAAATCCATTTGTAAATTTTTTTTTTAACATGATTAAAATCAGACGTTTTTCTATTTCATAAGAAGCCGCTTTTCTCACTGACGCAATAGTGCAACTATCTTCATCTTCTATTATCGTTCTAATTTCAACATTCGTTTGTTAAAAAATTGAATTGTTCACATATATTTCAAGAGCCATGTCAGCTTCCATAGATTTTGCTGATTTTTCTAATTTTTTCTACAATTATGAACAGTAGGATCGTGTCCAAGTTTACATTTGCGACAAACCTTATTTTTAAAAGTGCGTGAAATAATTTTCCCTGAATATTTGCCAGCCGCTATCACATGTCTTACAATAATTATTACATACGTGCAATAAATACTACGATACGATCGTAGGGCCTATGAGCGTCGACTATTATCGCTCACTGTATCACACCTAATAATCACTCGATGAATTTGAAAACGGATTCTTAAAGAAAAAATGTCAAAGAATTCAATAAAAAAACAATTTTTGAAATAAAAATAACATTTTTTGAGATATGGCCAATTGTTAAAAAAAATGTTAATAATTTTTGGAAAATTTGATATTAAAGTATTGTTTACTTAATATTTTCAAAGTGCGCCCTTTTACGTGTAATCTAAAAAAAATTCGTTTCGATAACTTAAATGGTTGCGGAGATATACATTTTTGAAAATTTGTCGTCAAAAATGTTTAAATGTTTATAACTTTTGATATAATTATTATAATGTTCTCATAATCTATACAAAAGTAAACTACCATAAAGGCAATATTTAGACTAAGTTTCAAGAAAGTCCGAAATCTACCTCTGATGAGCTCATCGTCATAATCTGGAATGTGCCTAATAAGCGCGTATGCGAGCGTACATAGGTATACGAGTATTATATACAGGGTGAGGAAAAAGTATGGAAACCCCTGAAAATTCGGAAAACCTCACGAGGTTGGTCATGAAACAAAGGTCATATCCTATGTAACTTTCAACGATGAACCCAACGGTCACCTCAGATTTAACCTTGAACCTCATTTTCAAGGTTATTTCTAGGTCAACCTTATTTTTTTCATATGAGAATCCCTATTTTTTATACTGGAATTAAAAAGAACGATAAATTTTACGGATGGGAACGATTCAAAGATAGCGTGACCCCTAATCCTCCTTGAAACCAAGTATTTTCAAAATCATCACATCTTAACGCCTGGATAGCTGAAACAATCTGATTTCACGATTTCGCGTTCAAATTTCCTGTGATAAAAAAAGGACCTATTATTGTATCGCCTACCATTTATGCCCACACGTTTAATTTTTGAGGATATTGAGTGTGACTTTCTCTTATCCAATGAGGATTTTGTCGTTCCAATATCTAAGGTTATGGCGATTGACTTCGCCATTTAATTGACATGTAGCTTAAAAATACAAAAACAGGGTTGATTTTTGCTAGAAAACGAATAAACAGCAATTTGAAGATCTGTCTTTCTCGTATTTTTTTAGAATTATGAAAAAAGAAGACAACTTTTTTTTCACACTGCACATTCATCTGGATCTCTTTTTTATCGCAGTCTTCATCTTTCATTTTGGAAAATAGAAAACCACTAATTTGAGCATAAAATATAATTAAAATTGTCAAAAACTGGAAAGTCACCTTTTTTTTCGCCAAAAGTTACATTTTCTCCTCTTTCATGGGCTGTAAAACTAATTGTTTATTAGAAATTTAAAATTATTTTGAAGGTATTTGAAAGAAGTGAAAATTTTTAAATTAAATAGAAGTGCTTTTACAAATAATAATTAAAAAATTGTTATCATTTAGATTATAAGATCTTATTTGTTCTTGACTTCTACTAATTGGAAGTTGAAACCATATTTTGTTGTTTTCATAGTAAATAGGCTCTAGAAAAAAAATACTTGACCAATAAAAAAAAAACAAATTCGACAAATTCGTCAAATATTTCATAGTTTTTTTTTAGTTACAAGAACAATATTAAATTTTTGTTTTTTTCAAACTTTTAAAATGTTTCGTTTGTCCGAAAGAGGATGAATATCTCTTTTAATGATGAGGGGTCGGGGTGATCAGCAAAGGTCGTATACTAATGTTGTTAATCTCTTCAATATGAGTAGAACGTTTCGAAACGGCGATGGCAAAACTCCTTTGTCTAAATCCACAGTTTTAAAAACTTTAAGACGTTTTCAAGAAACGGGGTATATATAAAAATCGTTCTGTTACTGGAAGACCACGAACAGCAACAAATGAAGAAAAATCTTTAGATGTTTTACTGTCGTTTGTGGAAAATCCACATGAATCATCTCGATCAATAGCTTTACAACAGGAGATCGATAAAAAATCTGTTCTTAAAATTTTAAATGTAAACAAGTTTCATCCTTATAAAATGTAACTTGTGCAGAAATTAAATAAGGATGATCCTGATCGTTGAGTAGAATTTTGTGAGACAATGATGAAAATATTACTGAAAATCTAATATTTTTACAAAATATTGTTTTTTCAGGCGAAACGACATTTTAATTAAATGGCGAAGTCAATTGGTCCAACATAAATCCTCATTGGATGAGAGAAAATCACACTCAATATCTTAAAAAATTACTCGTGTGGGCAAGAATAGTAGGCGATACAATAATAGGTCCTTTTTTGATCGAAGGAAATTTGAACGCTGTAAGTTATGAACAACTTTTGCGAAATCAAATTGCTCCAGCTATCCAGGCCTTAAGAGGTGATGATTTTGAAAATAATTGGTTTTAACAAGATGGTTCTCCAGCTCATTATGGTGTAAATGTCAGATAATATCTCAATGAAACATTTTTTGATAGATGGATAGGTAGAAGAGGTATAGTAGAGTGGGCTCCAAGATCTCCAGATTTAAGCCCTTCAGACTATTTTTCGTGGGGTATTTAAAAGATCGGATATATAGAAGTAATCCACAAAATCTTGAAGAATTAAGACGTAGAATAGTTCAAGAAATTAATGCCATTCCACGGCAGATGATCCAAAATGGAACTCAATCATTCTACAATAGGATTGGTTACTGTCAAGGAGCGAATGGAGAACAATTTGAACATCTGTTTTAAATTCATTTACGTGAAAGGCAAGGGGAACTCACTATTAAAAAGTACCCCGAAGTGAGAGGCAAGGAGAACTCACTATTAAAAAGCACCCCGAAGTGAGAGGCAAGGGGAACTCACTATTAAAAAGCACCCCGAAGTGAGAGGCAAGGAGAACTCTCTATAAAATAGCACCCTGAAGGAAACAGATTCCTTCTACGTCCACGTCGTTATTCCTGTACAGCGCTAAAAGGAGAATTAGGAGTTACGATATCTTCGGACTTCAATCGTTTCCACCCGTAAAATTTATCGCTCTTTTTGATTCCAGTATATAAAATAAGGGTTTCCGTATGAAAAAATGAGGTTGACCATGAAATAACCTTGAAAATGAGGTTCAAGGTTAAATCTGAGGTGACCGTTGGGTTCATCGTTGAAAGTTACATAGGATATGACCTTTGTTTCATGACCAACCTCATGCGGTTTTCCGAATTTTCCGGGGTTTCCATACTTTTTTCTCACTCTGTATATGCGTTGCGTGCGGAAAAATTATTAGAAAATGTAGTGTAGCCAACTGCCGCATTTGGATGAAAAAAATAGAGCAAATGATTGCACCACACATAATTATAACCTCAACTTAAGTGTGATTACAACCTCCGACTTACAAGGAAACATTCCCAAACCAACCGTCCGTCTTCAATTTTGTTGCAATTGAGATATGTTATACTTTATAAAAAAATAAGAGACTTGTATTATTTTTATCGGCGGAAAAAGCTCTCTAGGGGGTGAAAGCCACCCTCAAAAGTTACCCCTAAAAACAGTTAAACAGCAGTAACTTTGGTTGTAATGAATCTTTTTTGATGAAACAAAATGGAAAAAAGTTCTTATTTAAAAAACAACAAAATCGTATAGTTTTGAAATGGGGATGGGGGTTGCAACCCTTACGATATACAGGGGTAAAACTACATTTTTGAGTGGATTTTTCGTGTATACAATCACAAAATTATCATAAAAAAATTGAAAAATAAATTTTTATTTAGGAAATGATAAAATAAAATTTACGTGTTTCGAAGTTTCTTATTTTTATGTATCTCGAGAGTGAACTACTCCTGAACCCGATTAATACTATAAGAATAGTTGCCGATCACCAATTTTGCTGATTTTCCATATGCTATGACGTTTAAAAGTGGGCTAGACAATGACACTGTTAATCTGTAGAAAAATAAATGTAAGGGCTGAAGACCACCCTCAAAAACTACCCCTAAAACACTATTACAGCAATATCTTCGGTTTATATCAATATTTTTCGACAACAAAAAATTTAAAAAATTCATCATAAAAAAGTGAATATAACTATATAAGTTTAGTCTCTGGAAGTTGCAACCCTTACGATGTAAAGGGAAAGAACAACCTTTTTGATTGGTTTTTCACGTAAAAAATTACGAAATTACCATAAAAATTAAAAAATACATTTTCATCTAGAAAATGATAAAATAATATTGACCAGCTTCGGAGTTTTTTCGTTATTCAATATTTTGAGGGTTAATCACCCCTAAACCCTACTATTGCTATATAAATAGTTGACAATCACCAATTTCGCTAATTTTTCGTTTGCTATGATGCTTAAAAATTGATGAGAGAATCATACTGTTGTTGTGCTAGAAAAGAAATTTGGGGAAACAACCCTCAAAAGCCACCCTCAAAATCCTGTTACAGCAATATCTTCGGTATTTATGACTATTTTTCTTTTTTAAAATCTAAATAAAAGAGAAACGTAACTATACAGATTTATATAATGATAATAGTGAAAGCTTGCGTTTGTTTACATAGACATTTACACTACATTGCATCTAGAATACAGCTGACAGTCGAATTAAGACATCCAATTAAGAGTGATTCGATCACTCTTAATTGGAGCTCCCTTACTCCAGCCCACAAAGTGTAGTGGAGAGTGAAAAAAAAATACCATTCGAAATATCTCTAATTGATCCCTCCAAAAATCATTATTTTAATTGAACCCTTTTAGTTGTCCCAAAAAAAATTAAAAACTATTTACATATTTAGTTTTTTGCAACTGTGATATGTTTAGCAATACTTAATATTTTTACCGAGAAACAAGACACAAAATTCAACCCTTGCTCATTTTAATTGAGTCCCTCTTACTTTTTAAAATTATTAATATATACGTCAAAAACAATCTAATTTTATTGTATGTTCTTACTAAAACGCATGCGCGTTAACCGATCTTTTTCGTAAGAACATAAAATAAAGTTAGATTGTTGTTTTTAACGTATATGTTAATAATTTTAAAAAGTAAGAGGGATTCAATTAAAATAAGCAAGGGTTTAATGTTTTTGTTTTGTTTCTTTGCAAAAATATTAAGTATTGCTAAACATATCGCAGTTGTAAAAAACTAAAAATGTACATAGTTTTTAATTTTTTTTGAAACAACTAAAAGGGTTCAATTAAAATAAAGATCATTTTTAGAGGGTTCAAGTAATATAGATATTAGGAATATTTTGACAAGGAAATATTTCGAATGGTATTTTTTTTTTACTCTTCACTACCCTTTGTGGGCTGGAGTAAGTGGGGTCTTTGCATGTGGAATCAGCGGGGCGAAATCAGAAAGAGCTCTTCAACTGTACGGAATGAAGTCAACTGCATACTTGACGCTCAAAGTTCTTTTTATCTCAAAGTGAACAATCGAAACCTCATCCTCACCCTAACATGTGCTAATATGCTATATAATGGCAAATGAAGATCTTATGCCAAAAATTAATATTGAGAAAGATAGTTATAAATTAAGTAATATTCAAAAAGAGTATATGCAACGAATTCATGAACAAAATAGAAATAGAGTGCAAAATTGGACAAGAATTCGTCGTAATAATCGTTTTCTAGGAGTTACTTTGAGCATTGGAGTGATTTCAATTTATTCCTATACAATGTGGGCAATTAAACAGGAAAGTTTTCTAGATGACTTCAATGAACCTGAAAAAGTCAGTAATTAAATGAGTTAAAGTTTCATTTGCAAATTTGTGAAACTAAAAATGTCTATTGCAAGATTACCTCCATTTCCTACAATACGTGATATAATCAAACTTTATCGCTTATCCGCAATAAAACAGTTATCACAAAATTTTTTAATGAATGAACAGCTTTCTGATAAAATAGTCAGATGCACTGGTATTTTTTGTGATTCTCAAGTTTTAGAAATAGGTCCAGGTCCAGGAGCTATTACTAGATCTATTATTAAAAAAAGGCCTCGTCAAATAGTACTTATAGAAAAAGATGAAAGATTCAAGCCTGCCCTGGAAATGATGAAAGTTGCTTGTTCTGGTGTTACAGATGTCGTTGATTTAATTTTTGATGATATAATGACTGTGAATCTGACAAATATGTTCAGTATAGAAAGCAAGAAAGAATGGACTGAAATGTCTCCAAACATTTTCTTTATTGGTAATTTACCTTTTAGTATATCAACTGCTTTACTTATAAAATGGTTAAAAAATATATCTGAACAAAATGGAGCATGGTCATTTGGCCGAGTTCAGATGACTTTGACTTTTCAAAAAGAGGTAGCAGAAAGATTGGTTGCAGAAGCTGGCCAAAGTCAGAGATGTCGTTTATCAGTTATAACACAAGCCTGGACCATTCCTAAATTGAAATTCATTATACCTGGTATGCATGCAAATAAATATATATATGCATATAATACATATACATACATATCCAAGTACATTTATATCTGAAAAAAAACAATCTTAAAAAATAAAACTCAGCAAGTATTTTTTTAATCTTATATTATGTTGATGAAAATAAATAATTTTAATAATTTTCATCGTTTGCTTGTTTGTTCAATCATTACCTGATTACTTTTAAGCCTAAATCATTTACTTGTTTGAAAATGTCGATATGCTTCTTGAAATACTTTCATGTTTATGTATGTGTGTATATATATTTATATTTATAAATGTGTATAATACATATAAATCAATTATTTCCATCTAAAAGATAAAAATGAATTACATTATTTTACTTTATATTTTATTATATTGGTTATTTTAATTATTATTGGCATAACAAATTTTTCTACTTCTAATATTTGTTATTATAACTGGTTTAAAATGTATATTTTCTTAGAGGAAAATTTGCAAAAAAATTCGATAACATTTTTATAAATATCTGATGTAAATTTTCCACATAAATAATTGTAATAGTTATTTACTAATAATACTTAAAAAGTATAAGTAATTATAAAAATTCATAAAAAAATCTTTGAATAAGTTATACAAAAGTGTTCGATTTAGAACATTTATAAACTAGTTTGTAGTTAATATCTTAATGAATGGGGAATATGTATAACAATATCTTAGGTCTATGCATTCAGTCCAAATCTATTTGAATACTAAAATAATAATCAAAAATAGAAATTAGAAAACTTTTTTAAGTAATTTAATAGTAACCCCATTGAAAATAAATATACAAACTTTGTATAGAATATGTATGAAATTTGTAGAAAAAAATATACAAAATTTGTACAAATCTTGTGCAATATTAATTCGTAGACATTGTTTCCAAGAAAAATGTGTCTGAAATTTATACAAGTTTGCTACAAGTATTGTATGAATTTTTTATAAATTTTATACAAAATTTCCAAGACATTTGTACAAATTTTGTTCTCAATAATTGACTTTTTCCTACAAATTAAATAAATAACACACGTATATTATGGATCAAATAACACGAACAGTTTCAATAGATGATTATATATGGAAAATGAAAATAATAAAAACAATAAGCAACAAGACCGAAACATGGATCTGAGATCTACTTGTTACCAATCTTTTACTTTATCACATTGCTACTGATGGCTATAACGATCCATATGATTTTTTATTCTATGTATATTACATGCAATTTGAAAATTGTTTATAAATTATTTAATTGTATTCCATGAACTGTATGTTTGCTGTTAATGTTGAATTAAGATTAAGCGATAAAATATAAATAAACAAAAAAAGTTTTATATATGGATAATTCTTAGTTATTTCAATCAGCTTAAGAACATTGTTGTTTTGATTTTTTCAAACTTTGCACAATTGTTCTATACAGGGTAATTCAAAAATATTGAAGGAAATCGGTATTGCCGGATTTACGTGGGTCGTTTGAAAAGTCTGTGCAAAAATAAAAACTGCTTGATTTTTTTAATAAATATTTTTTATTTTTCAATATAGTCTCCTTTTAGGCTTATACACTTCATCCAACGCTGCTCTAGTTTGTTAATCCCTGCCAAATAATAGGATTTCTCCAAGTCTGTAAAATAGGCATTCGTTTCTGCAATCACCTCCTCGTTTGAATAAAATCTTTTCCCCGCCAGCCATTTTTTCATACTAGGGAACAAATAGTAGTCCGACGGAGCCAAGTTTGGAGAATAGGGTGATGTGAAACGAGTTGGAACTCTATCTCCATCAGTTTTGCGGCTACAACTGCTGAGGCGTGAGCTGGCGCATTGTCGTGGTGGAAAAGGACTTTTTTGTGGGCCAATCGTGGACGTTGCTCTAGCAACTCGGTTTTCAAACGATCCAATATCGATGAATAATATTCGCCTGTAATGAATTTACCCTTTTCCATATAGTTGATGAAGATTATTCCTTGCGAATCCCAAAAGACAGTCGCCATAACCTTCCCGGCCGAAGGAGTTGTCTTCGCCTTTTTTGGAGCAGATTCCCCCTTGGTAACCCATTGTTTAGACTGTTCTTTGGTCTCAGGATTGTAGTGATGTATCCATGTTTCATCTACAGTGATGAAACGACGCTTAAAGTCTTGCGGATTTTGCTGTAACAGCTGCAAACCATTCTTGCAACACTTCACACGATCTCGTTTTTGGTCAATCGTGAGCAATCGCGGCACCCATCTAGCGGATAGCTTTTTCATGTCCAAATGTTGGTGCAAATATTATGTACCCGTTCGCTCGAGATGCCTACAGTACTAGCAATCTCATGCACCTTCACTCTTCTATCAACCATCACCATATCATGGATTTTATCAATGATTTCTGAAGTGGTAACTTCAACAGGGAGTCCAGATCGTTCATGTCTTTTGTGCTCATATGGCCACTCCGAAAATTATGAAACCACTTATAAACCATTCTAATCGAAGGTGCACAATCACCATTATGTTTATCAAGCTTCGGTTTAATCTCCTGAGGCATTTTGCCTTTGAAAAAGTAATGTTTAATCAATACACGAAATTCTTTTTCGACCATTTTTTTACAACCACTCGATTTCTTTCATTGAAACGAATGTAAAACGCAAAGTAATTGACCGATCTGGCTGAAACTTGGTGTGTGCTCTTCCAAGATATGCCACTAACTGAAAATAACCTTGATACGCACTAGTAGCGCCATCTCTGTGACTTTGCACGGACTTTTTAGACGACCCTCGTATCTTGAAAAATTATTTAAGATACAATTATTAGTTTTTTCCGATAATTGAGGAATGAGATAATTAACTTCAACGATCGACCAATCAGTGCGTGAATGGAAGTATGTGCGTTCGGTGGCGAGTGGGAAGTGGTAAGAAGGGTGTTGAATTAGTATATAATTCTATAGTATAATATAGGTACACTCATACATAGTCACACACATACATAGAGAGGCACACATACACTATATATATAATAAAGAAAATGGCTGCTTCAGTTGGGTATGCTCTCTTATGCTAACCACATGTATGTCATTTAATAATCCCACTGCATCTAATAACTAACAGGTTATGGGCCTACAATTATTGTAAAATAATAGTAATTAAGCATTCTATTATCAGTTAGTTACAATATTTTTGTGATATACATAAAGTGATACATAAAAAAAAAAAAAAAATCACTCCGAAAATAAGAAGAGCGAAACATAACCACGTTGTCACAGTTACATGACACAGTTCAATTTTTCTCTTTCTTTTTACATAAATCTCATCATCAAGTTAAATAAAAATGAGTAATCTATTAGCTTCAGTTGAAAAATTAAGAGGTAGTGAAAATTACAATGATTGGAAATTTGCCATCCAAAGATATATGGAACATGAAAAATTATGGAGTTATATTGAAGGAGAAAATGAAAATAGCACAGATACGACAGACGAAAATTTAATTAAAGCTAGATCAAAATTGTGTATGGCAGTAGATAAAATGGTTTACTCCTATATAAGAGATGCAAAGACTCCAAAAGAAATTTGGACAAATTTAGAAAATGCATTCCAAGCTGAAGGCCTGATAAGTAAAGTAAGTCTCTTACGTATTCTTATTACAACAAAGCTAGACGACTGCAAGTCTACAGATGAGTATATAGATAAAATATATACAACTGCAAATAAATTATCGAACTTAAAATTTGAAATTACACCAGAGTGGTTAGGAGTTTTATTATTAGCTGGACTGCCAGACAAATACAAACCAATGATAATGGGATTAGAAAGTTCAGGGATAAAACTAACAGGTGATGCAGTTAAAATCAAAATTTTACAAGAAGTTAAAGTTGAAAATAATCTTATTGTTGATTCAGAAACTGCACTCTACTTGCATAAAAATAAACAAAAATTCCATAAGAAAAATAAACCAAGATGCTTCAATTGTAATATTTATGGCCATAAAGCAAATCAATGTAGGAATACAAATAAAAGAAATAACTACAACAACTATCATGAAAAGTCCAAAGCAAATTATGTTTGTTACGATGATGATAATGAGAAAGGACCTGTGTTATTTATGGCATATAATTCAAATATAAAAGTAAATAATGATGATTGATTTATTGACTCGGGAGCATCAGAACATATGACTCCGAATAGAATTTCATTTTCTAGTTTTAAGCCAGTAAGTGGCAGAACAGTCAAAGTTGCAAATAATCAAACACTTGAAGTTAAAGGAGAAGGTCAAATCCACATAAAAAGTAAAATAGGAAATAAGACAGTTAATATTATGCTAAATAATTGCCTATATGTTCCAGAGATAAATGTTAATTTAATATCTGTTAGTAAATTAACAATTTTAGGCTTTCAAGTTCAATTTACAGATAAGTCATGTAAAATAAGTAAAGCAAATGGTGATTTAGTTGCAATAGCAACAAAGACTGATAAATTATATAAACTTCAATGGTCAAATAAAGAAAGTAATTTACAAGCCTATTCCACAAGCACATATCAAGACAAGACGCCACCGCATATATGGCATCAAAGGTTGGGACATCTCAACTCGAAGTACATGAGGAAGATGAATTCAATGGTGGAAGGGTATTACGTCAATAAATATAATCCCAAGCCTTGTGAAACATGTGTAGAAGGAAAAATGGCAACAATACCATTCGAAGAAAGCACAACCAAATCCAAAGCAATACTTGACCTGGTACATACGGATCTATGTGAGGTAAAACAAGTATCGTATGGGAATAGTAGGTATTTCCTTACATTTATAGATGATTATTCTAAGTATTTAACAGTCTATATTATTAAATCAAAATCTGAAGTTAAAAATTATATTAAAAAGTATGTCGAACTAACCGAAAATCAATTAGGTAAAAGAATAAAAACAATAAGAAGTGATAATGGACGAGAGTACATCAACAAAGATGTTCAAAGCTACCTAGAGGACAGAGGAATAGTTAACGAAACGAGCTGTCCAAATAC